AGATGGACCATTCCTTTTCTTCCTCAGCTCGTTTGAACAGCTGTTGTGGGCACAAAAGCTGCGATTTCGGAGGAGGGGTCTGCGGGTTCTTTTGTTTGGTATCGGAGTGCGCGTGCTTTTGAATCACGTCACCTCCGCTTTCCTTTCTCTTCCCCCCCCCCCCTCGAGAGCATCATCTTCCACACTCATGGCAGATGATACAGATGCTGTCAGCTTTCGCTATTTAAAAATCTCTGCCCTCGCCCTTCTACTTCATCATCGCTTTAACAAAAGGAGCCCTACGCATACGTAATATACCATAGCTCTCTCTTTATTCCATCTGCTTCAGCTTCTTTTGCTCTTTGTTCTTCTCCTCTTGTTCGTTCGTACCCTTTTGTCCATCTGCCTTTGCAGTTCTGCGCTTGTGTCTGGCTGGCTGGGCATCTTTTTTTCTCAGCAGTGTTTTGGTCTTTTGTCCCTCTGATCTCTTCTCTGTCGCCGCTCATTTTCTTTTCTGCCTTCTGTATCATCAGCTCTTGTTAGTATCCTCTTAAATGCCTGCTTGTTTATATTCTTCTTGGGAACATTGTACATTGATACAGATGATGTTTAAGAGTTCTTAGATCGTCGAGGCATTTAAAATATGTAATTCTGGTGACCATCAAACTCAGCTTCGAGGTCGCGTGCTATAATTCGCTGGGCTCTCCTTTCTGAGTTTCTTTGGTTTGGTCATTTGGCCATCCCAGATTCTTTCTTGTCGAAGATACGCATGAATAGCACAAGTTATAAACCTGGGTAAGCTTGAATATAAGCCAAATGAGATGTTCTAGCTTCGTGAGTGACATACTGATCTCTCCTCTCTCACGGTGTCATATTTCAAAGCTAATTAACTTTTCAGTTTCTGTTTTTTTTAAAGAGTTTCACATGGAATCCTATTCATTTTGCCGAACACCAAGCACTGGTTGATAATAGAAGTGATCGTATAGCGGGCATAGGTTGGACGAGACCCTAAAGTCGGGCCTAACTTGTTGTCCAAGCTCGTCCATCTTAATATAAATCTTTAAGTCTACCCGGACTTATATGAATTGCCTTGTCAAAGACCGGTTTGTTTAGCTGATTAAAGACTTGGGGCCATCTCTTCTTCAGCGATTACGGATCAAATATTCTTGTAGTAGTTCTCGTGAACCAGATGCCACTCTAAGGTGCTTTTATCTAGCTAGTTATTCACTGGTGCAGCTTCAACAGGCTCGCCAATCTGGGGCTTAAGCCTAGGCCGAGTATGGACTAAGGGCTTGTGAATAATGATCAAGGCCCATACGAAACATTCTTTACTTAGGGTGCACTGAACATTCTTATTCTAACGTTTAAGAGGTCCCCAATGGGAAGCCTTTGATCTTCATTATCGGATAGTCTCCTATTTTCACTTTTCTGCTAGAGGTCTACTTATCCTCTCAAGCAGCTCAATTGACAAGACTCTAGGTTAAGCATTTATAGGTTTGCTCCGAATGCGTCATGACTACAGATCTTCACTACATCCCTGGACAGCGAAACATCATGCAAACATACATATATGAATGCCTTGAGATGGACTTGTTTGTGGGTTATCATATGGAAGGATGGAAACATCAGATATGTATGGAATGAATTTCTCACTTTGTCCATAGATAATAGCCAAATGACCATCCCCTTGACATTAAGTAAAGTAGAGAGATACTCTCAGCTTCAATTACAGTATGATCAGACTCAGCAACGGAAGGCCAATCGATACAAATTGTGGTTCTCGAAATAGTGAAACCAAGAAGCAGACAGTCTCCGTGCACACCGTAGTGTCCGAGATAGAGGAGACCGACTCAACAATTCAAGACTGTACTCGGATTCTGCCGAGGATCGAGATTGCTTTCACGTATGCTGGGACACAACTGGTTAAACATCTCCCTTGCCGCGTGGACATAATTCATTTGGCAAGGGAGGATATCTCCGTCTCCTAATTGCGCACAAATTCGAAGATAACACGGTTGATGTTCTATCCGTCCCATCTTAAAAAGCGAGACTTCAAAATTACCACAAGTCGAAAGGAGGAACTCCAAGCATAGCCTACTACATTAACAAGATACCGCCATCGTAATGACCATCAATCGTTCCTTGTTTTCAAATGTGGAGGTCATGGACTCGTGCCAAGTGAACTTGGCTTTGCACGTTCATACGGGGACACAGTCAACATGACTCTTCCTCTCCGAGCATGTAGGGGAGGTCGCCCAACAGTGACTGGTTACATGTGTTTCGCTGGAAATGTTCCCGCGGCGAAATATAATTCACCGAAAGTCGTTTTTCGATTTTTTATTGAAAGGGGACTGGGCTTTGGATCTAATTCCGGACAGGAGTTATCCAAGTGTGAACAAAGAGTTTAATTGTCTGGATTAACAACTCAAATTTCGTACAATGACGAAGTTCGACTTATATTCATAAACAAATTAGACGAATCCGTCCAATGGCTGGTGGCGTCCGGAGTTCATTGATGTGGTATTACAAAGCTTCTGACTTAGAAAGTCAACAGCTATAGCTATGGAAAGATAAAGTGCGATACTTGAAAGTAAAGATAAAAAGACAGCATTTTGGTTTGTATGCATGGGAGGTTTTCTTCTGGCAGCCAGGTACTATTTATAATGTGAGCTTGGTAACTGCCTTTGATACCGCATTCGATGGTCACCGTTGATCTCATCTTTACCGTCCATCTAATAACATCGGCTCGTCAACTTCCATTGATCTTATCTTTTGTCCGGAGTGATAACCATCATAAAGTTCATCCCGTTTGACACCTGTCTTCCTTGAAGCAGTAACCATCATCGAGCTCGTATTGTCTTGACACCTGTCCTTCTCGAAGCAGTAACAGTCATCGAGCTTGTATTGTCCTGACACCTGTCTTCCTCGAGGCAGTAACCATCATTGAGCTCATATTGTCTTGACACCTGTCCTTTCTGGGATGATAACTGTCGTCGAGTTCTTCTTGGCTTGACACCTGTCTTTCCTGGGATGGTAGCCATCGTCGAGTTCCTTCCGGCTCCTCCCGAAGCAGGAACCGTCGTCAAGCTCTTCCTGGTTTGACATCTGTCCTCCCGAAGCAGGAACCGTCGTCGAGCTCTTCCTAGCTTGACACAGGAACCGTCATCGAGCTCTTCCTGGCTTGACATCTGTCCTCCCAAAGCAGGAACCATCGTCGTGGTTGACACCTGTCCTTTTCCTTGTCGACTTCCTCGATGACAATTTTCGTCGACAACTTCGGCGCTCGCTCTCAAGCTCTCTTAATTTCAAATTTCCTGCCGGTATCTCCCAACTATTTCGTACATGTTACGCCATCCCTTGACGTCTATTATTTTATTTATTTCGGTTGTTGACAACCTAATCAATTATAGGTGTCAACAACATGAAATTACCCCGCACCCTGTTCCTCCCTGTGCTAGTTGGTGGACAAGGAAAGGGCATTGAAAACGGCCTTCCAACTGAACTACATTAACACTGTTGTTTTTGCCAGCCTATCCGGTGGTGACTTTCACGCATTCTGATCAATTCTCAACTATAAAACATCATGGGAGAGGGATGTCGCTATACCTTGGTGATGCTGATGTCGATCGATGAAGTGGCGATCGGTCGTCATATCCGCGTGCTTCTCTTTTCTGGGAGGTGATGGGGTTGACCTAAACGGCTAGCTTGGCATTGTCATTGTGCCAAATACTTACCTGCAAGTCGATTGGAGATGTTAATGGCGCGATTTGGGTTGGTCTAGAGGAACTTTCAGCGCAAACTGAACAAACTGGTGCGAAAAAATCCCAAACCCGAACCGAATCAATAAGATCACAATACAAACCGACCCGATAACTTGGTTTCGAGTCGACGTGCGAATAAGAAGTTTAGCAGTTAGCTTAGGCTATACACTAATCATTAAAGGAAAGGAGTATAATCGTGATTAGATCAAATTAAATATCCATAAGATGAAAGATATCAAATTTAACTAGCTCAAGTTGAGAGAGCATGACAACTGTTTATGGTGAATGTTCCAGATTCAATATCTATCAACGACAGACTTTTAATCCGATTGTGAGAATTCTTAAAAAAAGACTTCCACGGCTTTATATATGCTAAACTATGAAATTCATTAGTCAATAAGACAACAAGTTTACTAACTACATTTCTCGATTTGGTTTGATTTTATCAATTTCAAACATAAACACTAAAACCAAAGCAATGGGGCGATAAATAATTTTTGCAAATCGAAGCATAACCGATCTTGTTGGTTCAGTTCTCGGATGAGGTTTTTGAACATAACTTAGATAGGTAAGAGGTGTAAGCGTGCCACGAGGTGTGAATCGATCTCGTACTCAGCGAAACGACTTTCACTTTCCATAAACAAAATGGTTCGGTTTTTCAGTTTTTGCCTTCCATGGACAATTCTAATTAAAGTCAACTATTATAGTGGAAAATTATTAAAAAATTCTTAAACTGATTGTACGGCGGCCAATTCAGTTGTAAAGTTTTCAATTTTGTCAATTAAGTCTTAAACCTTTTGACGATTTGCTAATAGAGCATTTCAGTCAATTTTCGCTGGAAATTGCAAGCGAGGACGCCGGCCATCCTACGTAGTATGGACGGCGCTGAGATGAACGATTTTTGTAATTTAAAAAAAGAATTTCTGATTTTTTTTAAAAAATAAGTTATGTCATCTTGAGGACATTAGAAGCTACAAGGTAGTTGGAGAATTGCACCGCGTGTGGGGTCTCTCTCCAGACAATGAAATTTATAGTTGAAAATGGAGAAAACTTCGATGGCCAAGCTAGCGAGAAGCTTCACAAATAGTAGTAAACGCTCTAGCAAAGCAAGCGTATAATATCCCAATTCGCAGTAGCTTTCACACTTCACCTCTTTTACCAGGTCAACAGCTTATGGTAGAAAAGCTTCCCCATCGCACTTCTCCATCACAGAAGCTATAAAAAGGCCTCGGAACCGATCATCTGCCCTCACATTTTGATCAGCGTTTTCCCCTTTCATTCTCCTTTCCTTTCTGTTCTGAGTTTTTCTCGTAGCAATGTTGGATCTCACCGCGGAGTTGGTAGCTCAGGCGGCATCCAACTCTCTCGTCGTCTTCTGTTTCTGCAATCTACTCATAGTCATCATCCTCATGTCCCCAAAACCCAGCTTGGATTTCGACGAGAGAAGCGAGCTACATCTTACAGTCGTCACCCACGACGGTGTGTTAGATGAGCAGAGAATAGACATTGAGCAGCCACCTGAGGATGAGGAGACGTGGCCGGAGGTTATGCAGTTGTGCGTGTGTGAAAACTTAGAAAAGGAAGGCGGGAGCTACAACGGCAAGGGTGAAGATGATAACGAAGATGACGGCGAAAGTAATAATGACGACGACGATGAATTGAGAAGAAGGATTGAAGCTTTTATTGACAAGGTAAATAGGGAATGGAAGGAAGAGAAATTGAGAACACAGTCTATGTGAGCAAGTGGATTTTTGTGAGCCCTTTTTGTACTAAATTAAAGAAACTCAGTTGGGATTGATTCCCAATCTCTGTAGCATGATAGTAATGACTTATGAGGCTACTTTGTGTATTAGTCACCCAAAGAAACTAGTGAAAAAAATTAGTATCCCTCAAAACAAGAAAGTTTCTCCAGGGTCAACTCTCTGTCGATGGGAACTGAGCTAATTTTGATGCAAGTAACTAATGAACAAAGGGAGAAGAACACTAGAAGTGCCAAAACTTGTGTACGGCGCTCACTTTAGTGCCAAAAGTTTGTTTCGGATCACTTAAGTGCTAAAATCGGAGAAAAACGATCACTTAAGTGTCAACGGCGAGAAATTCCGGTCAAATTAATATGTGGCTTTTTTAATTAAAATTTTAATCTACGTGGCATTTCCACGTGTATATTTTGAATTTCTCAGTCCTACGTGGCATTTCCACGTGTAAATTTCGAATTTTTAATTTTTTTATGTTTTTTACTTCTTTTCTTTTTTTCTTTTTTTTCTTCTTCTTCATTTGGCCGGTGACCGGACACCGGCCACCGGCCATGGCCGGCCGCTGGGGGTAGCCCGGGGGAAGGTGACCCCCGGTGAGGCCGCCGTGGCCTGGGTGAGGGCCGGCCCGCCGGATCTCGGCGAGGGCCGGCCTCGCCGCGGTCGCCCGTGCCATGGCGACCTCGCCTCGCCCGTGGCGGGCGACATCGGCCTCGTCCGGGCGAGGCCAGGCGGCCGGCCATGGCCGGTGGCCGGTGTCCGGTCACCGGCCAAACGAAGAAGAAGAAGAAAGAAAACAAAAAAGGAAAAAAAGAAAAAAGGAAAAAACAGAAAAAAATTTAAAATATTATTAAATATTGTCCTCGTCAGCGCCGACGTGCCACGTAGGACTGAGAAATTAATAAAATATGGCAATGTTAGATTTCCGGCGACTCAAATCGGAGTTGGCACTTAAGTGATCGTTTTTTAAAAAAAGTAGCATTTAAGTGATCCGAAACAAACTTTTGGCACTAAAGTGAGCGCTATACACAAGTTTTGGCACTTCTAGTGTTCTTCTCCCAATGAACAAACCAGCTGATAAGCTGCAAAAAATTCACAAGAATTTAGCGTTTGCAGAAGAAATCAACAATGGAAGCATCTATGACTGTATTTTTAGCCAACTAATTCTCAACGCATAACTAACTCTCCGAACCGATCAAGAGCCAACCATGCAAACATCATCTATGACAGTATTTTTAGCCAATTTTCAGTTTTCCAGTTAGAGTGCTCGAAAGGGAGAATGTCGGTATAAAGCATCGTATCAATCAAGAAGGGGTGACTTAATATGAGGAGGTCAAAAGAATTCACGCGCACATAGAAGGGAGAAATATGTAAACTTTTCTGGATCAGAATACTTATACAGGTTAAAGGCTTGAACTTAACCGGTTCATAAGACTTGTAGGGTATCTCATGGGCCTCCAGACAGCCGAGTCTCCACGCTCATATCTCTAGATTATAATAAAAAATGACATGATAAAAAATTATTCATTTACCCAACTATGTTTTATCACATGCACTGTTCCACGTGAATCTCTGCTTAACTTTTGCCTCGCATAGAAGACAACACATAGAACTCAAAATAGAGTCCAACATAGAGTGGTTCCATGAAATTACTCCGTACTTTGTTTCTCCGTGCGTTCGTTGGTGGACAAACGAACTACCTTAACATTGTCGTTTCTGCCAACCAATCCGGTGACTTTGGCTCGTTCTGATTAATTCTTGATTGGGCCACATCGGGGGAAGCTATGTCACTGTACCTTGGCGTTGCTGATGTCGATCGATGACGTAGCAATGGTCGTCATATCCGTGTGCATCTCTTTCCTTGGAGTTGACGTTAGACGGCTGACCTGGTACTTTCATATTGCCAAATATTACCAACAAGTAGTCTTGGCCACGGTTCGGAACCGGCTGTTCCGGTTCGTGGCCAAGTATGAACCGGAACCGGAACCGCCATGGGCGGTTCCGATCGGTTCGGAACCGATTCCGGGCCGGTTCATAATTTTTCTTTTCTGTTTTTTTTCTTTTTCTTTTCCTTTTCTTTTTTTTTTCTTTTCTTCCTCCGCCGGCCATAGCCGGGGCCGGCGAGGTCGCCGGCCTCAGGCGAGGCCGCCCTCGCCGGCGTCGGGCGAGGGCCGCCCTCGCTGGGCCGGGCGAGGCCGGCCTCGCCGACGGGCGAGGGCTCGACCTCGCCGGCGTCGGGCGAGGCCGACCTCGCCTGCACCGGCGAGGCCGGCCTCCCGAGGCCGGCGAGGTCGACCTCGCCCACCGAGGCTGGCTCGCGCCGGCCTCGCGGGCCGACCTCGCCGCACAGCGAGGTCGGCCCCTCGCCGGACGCTGCGAGCTCGACCTCCCATTTTTTTTTGCCGCGAGCCGGCGAGGTCGAACCCTCGCGTTCTGCGGCTCTTTTTTTTTTTGAACCGGGCCGGACCGTGGGTTCGGGCGGTTCCGGTTCCAAACCGCGGGCCCGGGTTTGACCGGGCCGGTTCCGGTCCGGTTCCGGGCCGAAACCGGCCCGTGGCCATGACTACCAACAAGTCGATTGGAGATGTTAATGGTTGATTTAGTTTGGTCTAGAGGTACTTGCAGCCCAAACCGAACAAACCGGTGTGGAAGAATATGTGACTCAAAGTTATATCGAATCAATAAGATCTTAATTAAGACCGAACCAATAACAACTTAGTTTGATTTCGCGCCGTCAGAATCAAGCCGACCCACAAATAAGAAGTTTGATACTTAGGCTATATAACTTCTATGTAAAATGGAAACTATTAAGCAAACAGTATTTCATGAAAGCATGAAAGGGTAGGAGTTTCATCACGATAAAATAAAATTAAGTATCCATAATATATAAGATACTTATTCCAACTTGCTAAAGTTAAGAACATGGAAAGGCATGACAACTTTTGTAGTGATTATTCAAGATTCAACATCTCTATTAACAACCCACTTTTAATCCGGTCGTAGGAAGACTATAATCGGTAAACAAAACCTTTATAAAAATATTTATATTGATTGATAGAACAATTAAATATTAAAAAAATGCATTCATTTAACAATTTAAATTTTTGAGTTTGATATTCTAACATGGTATCAAAGCTAGTGCTATCCTTTTCGCGAATGTGCATCCACCACCCATATGTCAAATTCCATATGCCGCTCGTTATTCGGCTTGCGTGTGAGAAAAAGTGTTGAACTATTGTCTCACGTCGCTTGACAACGAGTCATATATGCTATTTATATTCATATGATCTCTCTCCACCTATTAGCTTAAATTTTTAAAACAACCAACTCTCATAACATATATAGTAGTATTAGAGTAAGAGATCTTGAAAGAATAATTAAATATTAAATCACGCCTCTATCTAATAGATGACAACCATCCGTTTAAAACATAGAACATCGAATACAAAGCAATGGACTGATAATTAGTCGAAGCACAACCAATCTTGTCGCTTCGGTTCGGGTTTTTAATTTTTGGTTTCCATGGACGTTTCTAATTGAAGACAATTAGTGTAGTCCAATGGAAATTTCTCATGTTTTTTTTTTTTGGCTAAATTCTCATGTTTTTTCTTAGTTCGTCAGTTAGCATTTCTTTTCTTTTCTTTTTTCATTTTTTGGTCAAGGTCAGTTAGCATTTAATAACCGGAATTTCTGACACAAGGCCTCCTTTCCAATTGAGTGAGTGAGACAGGGCAATAATTATATATGTTGTCAGATGATGACATCAGAAGCTACGAGGTCGTGGGAGAATCGGTCTGCATGTGGTCTCTCTCTCTCTCTATCTCTCTCCCTCTCTCCAGACAACGCGCTTCGTACTTAGAAAATCGAGAGAACTTCGATGGCCCCAAATGATTGCACTAACAAAACGAGCGTATGATATCCTGATTCACATTAAGCTTTCACACTACACCTCTCTTGTCAGGTTAACAGCTGATGCTAGAAAAGCTTCCCCATCACACTTCTCCATCACAGGAGCTATAAGAAGGCCTTGGAACTGATCTTCTGCCCTCACATTTGATCAGCGTTTTTCCATTTTTCTCTCCTTTCGTTTCTGTTCCAAGTTTTTCTCGTAACAATGTTGGATCTCTACGCGGAGTTGATAGCTCAGGCGGCATCCAACTCTCTCGTCGTCTTCTGTTTCTGCAATCTACTCATAGTCATCATCCTCATGTCCCCAAAACCCAGCTCGAATCTCGACGAGAGAAGCGAGCTTCATCTTGCAGTTGTCACCCACGACGGTGTGATAGATGAGCAGAGAATGGACATTGAGCAGCCACCCGAGGACGGGGAGACGTGGCCGGAGGTTATGGAGTTATGCGTTTGTGAAAACTTAGAAAAAGAAGGCAGGAGCTACCGTGGCGAGGGTGAAGATGATAACGAAGATGACGGTGAAAGTAATAATGACGACGACGATGAATTGAGAAGAAGGATTGAAGCTTTTATTGACAAGGTAAATAGGGAATGGAAGGAAGAAAAGTTGAGAACACAGTCTATGTGAGCAAGTGGAATTTGGTGAGCATTTTTGTACTAAATTAAAGAAACTTTTGATTGGGATTGATTCCCAATCTCTGTAGCATGATAGTAATGACTCACGAGGCTGTGTTGTGTATTATTCACCCAAAAAGCCTAGTGAAAAAATTAGTATCGCTCAAAACAAGAAGGTTGCTCCAGGGTCAACTCTCTCTGTATAAGGGAAGTGAGGCTAATATTGATGCAAGTAACTAATGAACAAACCAGATGACAAGCTGCAAAAAATTCACAAGAATTTAGCGTTTGCAGAAGAAATCAACAATGGAAGCAGTAGTATCCTCAACGCATAACTAATTCTCTGAACCGATCAAGAGCCAACCATGCAAACATCATCTGTCATGCAAACACCATTTGCGATGGTATTTTTAGCCAATTTTCAGTTTTCCGGTTAGAGTGACTCGAAAGGGAGAATGTCGGTATAAAGCATCGCATCAATCAAGAAGGGGTGACGTAATACGAGGAGGTCAAAAGAATCCACGCGCACAGAAAAGGGAGAAAATATGAAAACTTCTCTGGATCATAATACTTATATAAGTTAAAGGCTTGAACTTGACTGGTTCATAAGACTTGTAGGATATTTCATAGGCCTCCAGACAGTCGAGTCTCCACTCTCATGTCCCTAGATTATAATAAAAAACCGACATGATTAAAAGTTTTTACCCAACTAACTATCTTTTACCACATGTACTAGCTAGTCCACGCGAAATCCTGCTTAACTTTTGCCTCGCATAGAAGTCAACACATAGAACTCAAAATAGAGTCCAACGGAGAGTGGTTCCATGAAATTACTCCGTACTTTGTTCCTCCGTCCGTTCGTTGGTGGACAAACGAACTACCTTAACATTGTCGTTTCTGCCAGCCAATCTGGTGACTTTCACTCGTTCTGATTAATTCTTGATTGGACCACATCGGGGGAAGCTATGTCACTGTACCTTGGCATTGCTGATGTCGATCGATGACGTAGCAATGGTCGTCATATCCGTGTGCATCTCTTTTCTTGGAGTTGACGTTAGACGGCTGACCTGGTACTTTCATATTGCCAAATATTACCAATAAGTCGATTGGAGATGTTCATGGTTGATTTAGTTTGGTCCAGAGGTACTTGCAGCCCAAACCGAACAAACCGGTGTGGAAGAATATGTGACTCAAAGTTATACCGAATCAATAAGATCTTAATTAAGACCGAACCAATAACAACTTAGTTTGATTTCGCGCCGTCAGAATCAAGCCGACCCACAAATAAGAAGTTTAATACTTACTTAGGCTATAGAACTTCTATGTAAAATGGAAACTATTAAGCAAACGATATTCCATAAAAGCATTAAAACGAAGGAGTTTAATCATGAAAAAATCATATTAAGTATCGATACTTATTCCAACTAGCTAAAGTTATGAACATGGAATGGCACGACAACTTTTTGTAGTGATTATTCAAGATTCAACATATCTGTTGATAACCCACTTTGACTACCCGGAACCAAACCAGAGCCGATGGTTCTTAAGGGAACTAGTCTGATTCCCGGTTCCAATTTTTCGGAACCAGTGGATACTGATCCGATTCTCGGTTCCAGATGTGGAACCGCACATTCGCTCACCCGGACCGAACCGGTAATATAATAATAATATATTATATTTATTTAATTTTTAATTTAAAAAAAATCTTAAATCCCTAAACTAAACCTAACTCACTTGACACTCATAGCTTCACACTGAGCTGAGAAACACCTCCTTTCGCTTTTGCCTCACGCTCACACTCACTCTCTCTCTTCTCGGTCAATACTCACCTCACCGTCTCTGACTCTCTGTCTCTGTCCTTAGTTGGTCCATGGACCCACTCGGGAATCGAACCGAACTGGCAGTCCGGTTCCCAGATGGATCCATAGAACCAACGGGCGGCTCCCGGTTTCAATTTTTTGAAACCGGTCCCTAATGGGCGGTTCCCGGTTCTAGGATGAGAATCATCCATCCGGACCATGCTCACCCCTAATGGTTAGACTGGAATCAATAAGATAAAAGCTTTATAAATTATGTATATCGACTTGGTTTGGCTTTATCGGTTTGAAACATATAACATTGAAACCAAACCAATGGACTGATAATTAATTCTCGCAAATCAAACCATAACCAATCTTGTCACTTCAGTTTGATCGGTTCGGGTTTTTAGTTTTTGGTTTCCATGATGTTTCTAATTGAAGACAAACTAGTGTAGTCCCATGGAAATTTCTCATGTTTTTCCTTAGTTCGTCAGTTAGCATTTAATAACCGGAATTTCTGACACAAGGTCTTTCTCCAATTGAGAGAAAGAGAGAGAGGGTAGTTATGTCATCTTGATGACATTAGAAGCTACGAGGTAGTTACTAGTTGGAGAATTGCCTTGCATGTGGGATCTCTCTCCAGACAATGAACTTTATATTTGAAAATGGAGAGAACTTCGACGGCCAAGCTAGCAAGAAGCTTCATAAAATTTAGTAAACGCTCTAACAAAGCAAGCGTATAATATCCCAATTCGCAGTAGCTTTCACACGACACCTCTTTTATCAGATCAACAGCTTATGCTAGAAAAGCTTCCTCATCACACTTCTTCATCGCAGAAGCTATAAAAAGGCCCTGGCACACATCTTCTGCCCTCACATTTGATCAGCGTTTTTACCTTTTTCTCTCCTTTCGTTTCTGTTCCGCGTTTTTCTCGTAGCGATGTGGGATCTCACCGCGGAGTTGGTAGCTCAGGCCGCGTCCAACTCTCTAGTCGTCTTCTGTTTCTGCAATCTACTCATGATCATCATCCTCATGTCCCCAAAACCCAGCTCAAATCTCGATGAGAGGAGCCAGTTTCATCTTACAATTGTCACCCACAACAGTGTGATGGGTGAGCACAGAATAGACATTGAGCAGCCACCAGAAGATGAGGAGACGTCGCCGGAGGTTATGGAGTTATGCGTCTATGAAAACTTAGAAAAGGAAGGTGGGCGCTACCATAGTGAGAGTGAAGATGATAACGAAGATGGACGATGAATTCAGAAGAAGAATTGAAGCTTTTATTGACAAGGTAAATAAGGAATATATGGAAGGCAGAGAGAACATGTGAGCAAGTGGATTTTTTAGAGCCCTTTCTGTACTAAGTTAAAGAAACTCAATTGGGATTGTTCCCAGTCTCTGTAGCATGATATTAATGACTAGCAAGGCTACGTTGTGTATTAATCACCCAATGAAACTAGTGAAAAAATTATTACCGCTCAAAACAAAGAAAGTTTCTCCAGAGTCAATTCTCTCTGTCTATGGCAAGTGATGCTAATCTTGATGCAAGTAACTAATGAACAAACCAGATGATAAGCTACAAAAATTTCGCAAGGATTGAGCGTTTGCAGAACAAATCAACAATGGAAGCCGTAGTGTCCTGAACACAACTAATTCTCTGAACCTATCAAAAGCATGCTTTGACGGTGTCTTTAGCCAATCTTCAGTTTTCCGGTTACGGTGCTAGAAAGGGAGAATGTCAATATGAAGCATTGCATCAATCAAGAAGGGGTAACATAATATGAGGAGGTTAAATAATCAACACGCATAGTGAAGGGAGAAAACCAAAAAACTACTCCGGATCAGGACACCTACACAAGTCAAAAGCTTAAATTTCACCGTGGTTCACAGAACTTGCACGGTGTCCCACAGGCCTTCAAACAACCGTGTCCCCACACTCGTGCCCCTAGATTATAATAAAAAACGATATGATCAAAAGTTCTTCGTTTACCCAACTAACTATGTTTTACCACATCTACTATTCAATAGGGAAAATTCCAATTGAGGACCCCAAGTGGGGTCTTTTTCTCAAAAAAGGACCCCAAGTGGACATAGTGTCAAATAAGGACCTGAAGTGCCCAATCAATTTTAAATAAGAGCCCAAAGTATCCAATTAGTCTTAAGTAAGGGCCTGGGTTCGCCGGCCGGTCAAATGCTTGCCGGCCGGCGAGTACGGTTACTGTTCCGGCGACCGAAAAAGGTCAGTTTCGTCTTTTTCTTTTTTCCTTTTTATGTTTTTTTTTTTTTCCTTTTCCTTTTCCTGTTTTTTTTTCTTCTCTTCCCTCCGCCGGCCATAGCCGGGGCCGGCGGAGGCCGCCCTCACCGGCGTCGGGTGAGGATCGCCCTCACCTGGGTTGGGTGGGCGAGGGTCGCCCTCGCCCTCGCCGGACTGGCGAGGGTTGCCCTCGTCCGCCCGACGCCGGCGACGGATGAAACCACCCAGTACTCGCTTCCTCCATGTGTTAGTTGGTGGACAAGCGAAGGGCATGGCAGAGTGCCTCCCAACCGAACTACATCACCAGTGTTGTTTTTGCATAACCGTGTGCTTCTCTCTTATTGGAGGTGATGGAGTCAACTTAGACGGCTAACTGGGTATCTTTATTTTTGCCATATATCTACCTACAAGTCGATTAGAGATGTTAATGGCAAGATTTGATTTGGTTTAGAGGTACTTTCAGCCCGAACCGAACCAATCGTTGTGGAAAAACCTCAAACCTAAACCGTAAAAGTTATGTGATCTGATGAATATTAGAAGCTGCGAGGTCGTCGGAGATTGCACTGCATGTGGGGCTCTCTCCAGACAATGTACTTTATACTAGAGAATTGATGGCCAAGCTAGCAAGAAGCTTCACAAATATTAGCAAATGCCCTAACAAAACAAGCATAATATATCCCAATTCTCAGTAGCTTTCACACTACACCTCTATACCAGGTCAACAGCTTATGCTAAAAAAGCTTCCCCGTCACGCTTCTCCATCACAAATACAAGTTCTCTAACAAAACAAGCCAATAATATCCCAAGTCTCAGTAGCTTTCACACTACATCTCTTTTATCAGGTCAACAGCTTACGCTTAAAAAAGCTTCCCCATCACACTTCTCTATCACAGAAGCTATAAAAGGGCCTCGCAACATATCTTCGGCTATCACAAATCAAGCATTCTTCCTTTTTTCCTCGTTCCTTTCAGTGCCAAATTTTCCTCGGAGCAATGTTGGATCACACTGCAGAATTGGTAGCTCAGGCAGCATCCAACTCTCTCGTCGTCTTCTGTTTCTGCAATTTACTCATAGTCATCATCCTCATGGCCCCAAAACCCAGCTCGAATTTCGAAGATAGCAGCGAGTTTCATCTTCCAATTCTCACCCACAACAGTGTGATTAATAAGCAGAGGATAGACATTGAGCAGCCACCCAAAATTGAGGAGACATCGCCAGAGGTTATGGAGTTATGCGTCAGTGAGAACTTGGAAAAGGTAGGCAGGAGCTACAACAATGAGCGTGAAGATGATGGGGAAAGTAATAATGACAACGATGATGCATTGAGAAGAAGAATTGAGGCTTTTATTGACAAGGTAAATGGGGAATGGAAAGCGGAGAAATTGAGAACAGACTATCTATGTGAGCAAGTGGATTTGTGAGCCCTTTTTGTACTAAGTTAAAGAAACTCAACTGGGATTTGGTTCCCAATCTTTGCAGTAACTATGATATGAATGACTAATGAGGTATGTCAAGTATTAGTCACCCAGAAAAACTAGTGAAGAAATTAGCATCGCTTCAAAACGAGAAAGTTTCTCCACGGCCAACTCTCTCTGTCTACAAGAAGTAAGGCTAATCATGATGCAAGTAACTAATAAACAAAACAGATGATAAGTTGCAAAAGATTCACAAGAACTTAGTGTTTGCAGAAGAAATCAAATGTGGAAACATTAGTGTCCTGAATGCATAATCCTCTGACACGATCAAAAGCAAACTTTTTAAACATCATCTCTGATGGTGTTTTTAGAAAATTTTCAGTTTTCCAGGTGTTTGAAAAGGAGAATGTCAGCATAAAGCCTTGCATTAATCAAGAAGGGTAACATAATATGAGGAGGAAAAAAATCCCCATGCACATGAAAGAGACAAAATCTGAAAAAGCAAATGTTATGCTGAAAATATGCAGTCGATCATCATCAAAGATCCGACAAACTATTGGACTGCAAGCCACTGCCACCATAGTATTGCTTCGTAGTTTCCCGTGAAAATTCAGCAAAAGTCATCCCACCTTTCAATCGTGAGAAAAGGAGAGGCACTGTTTTCTGGATTTCATCAATCAGTTTCGTCCTGTTTTGCTCAGCGAGACAAGTATTATCAGTAGCTACTTCAGGGTATGACGGTAACTGATCCATCGGATAATCAGACAGAGAGAAAGTCTTACTCCACGCAGGCTGCAAGAACACAACAAAAGTTTCTCTGCTCACATTATCAACTTTTGGTGGTCTGGGCACACAGTGAAGGGTTGAGCGTAACTTCCCCCTGGACAAGACATCAGCCGCTTCACCCACTTGGATTATGAAACTTTCAGGAGATGTCTTCACCATAAAGACACCATTTCTTATGGGATTAAGAATTTGCAGGTATGTCAGACCATCCGGGTAAGGGCACTCTTCAACACTGGCCGCTGAAGTTTCACAATCGCGATCCGGCTCTGGTGGAAAAGCAGGTGAAAGAAACATCGGAGCTGTTAAAACAGTGAAAATGCCATAGTCATAATGCCACTGCTGCCATAGATTGGAATTAGACCCACGAGACTTGGCTTCACCACCAATTGTCTTCTTCTGAGGAATTGGTTGTCGTTCTCTTCCATTACAGAAAGCATGTTCATCTGCCTTCTTTTGTTTAGCAATTCCTCGCTTGGATCCGAGTCTTCTCCCATCTTGTTCGAGAACAAGGTTCTCTGCCCTTGAATGGTAGTGAATAAGACGCCCCTTAGCAGAGCACGATTCCACTAAGCTTTGTTCTAACTCATGGCCACCAATGGCCCCATCACATATTCGCGCAAGACCAAGCCCCAGTTCCATCATCAAGGAACCTAGCTTCTTAAAAACGAACCCAAGATGATCAAACTCTTTGTCCTGAAATTCCATTGTAACATCCAAGTTAAGATTGTCCAATTCTGAATCTAAACTATTTATGTTACTACTTGCTTTGCTTTGAGCAAGCTCCGCACCTTGAGCATATCTCAGTTGCATAGCAAAAGAGGAGACACTCCTATGGGGATCCTTCATGGGAACATCAGTCCCCAGTTGATGAGCCTGATAAACAAAACAAGAGAATAAGATACCTCAAACCCAAAAGGAAAGATAAACAACTACACAAGAGATAACAAAACCGAGGCTCATATCGCGAGAAGGAATATGCACGAACAACGCAGTACACAATATTGAGGATTTGGACTTAAGATAAAGCTCAACCAGACTTCATGATAAAAAATTCTATCTCATCCTTGACCTTTGAGGTTTTGGGTGTTGATTCCTGTCCTCCCAATCACTAACACCATTCCTTCCACTCTCCTTCCCAACTTGAATTTTTTCGTTCCACGTGATTTTTCCTCATCTCTATGTTCTAGTAACCCAATCAAGATGCCAACATATCCTACAGGTCATATCCATGATCAATGGAAATACAAATCCGCACAAGTTGCACTCGCAATTCGAGTGTATTTCATACAATGTCTCCACTTCAGCTCCTCCAGTACACCACAGAAGCAACCAAAATGCTGATAAATTGCCAACCAAATGGCGCGAGAGACAAAACAGCACAGAGTCAAATTCCAAACCCGGATAAGTCATGAGTGTATTGGGCGCATGGCATGAGATGATAGCTCACCAACAATCCAATCTCAAGTCTACAAACTACCATTTGCGGCCAACCCTTCCCAATCTCTTCATCGAATACGTATTGCGAAATCGGCACCAGATGATCATCAATCACCGCCGCCCAAGTACATATTCTTGAAAACAAAAGGAGGGCAATCATCGGCGAGAATACCTGGAGAATGCGCCTGCGACGCTCGGGATCGAGAAGCGCGAGGCGGGGAGCGAGAGGGAGGAGCTCACGGCGGAGCGCGGGAGCTTCGGGGACGTCCCGCACGCACAGCAGACCGGGGCCGGCGGGGCCGAGAGCCTCCATCACGCTCCCCCGGATCGAATCGAGCCGCCGGAGCTCCGCCTCCGACGGCGGCGACGGATGACGGCGAGGCGATGACAAGAGGAGGAGATCGGAGTAAGAGAGCTCGTAGGGCTGCATCGCCATCGCCGCCGCCGCCTCTGCTTTCGGTCGCTCCATCGTAGTACGTATCTCGCCGTCCTCTTCGGAGACACTGAAGTGACGACCGGGAAGCGATTCCGGCGGAGGGCGCGATGCGAACTTGGGTCTCTCGATGCCTCTGCTAATATTCATTTTCAATTTTCTTATTCTAGAAATTAATGAGTATACAATCACCCTTCAAATTTAAGGATAAAATATTAAAAGTCTTAGAACTTGACGTAAATCTTAAAACTTTTAAATAAAAAAATGCAATAAAGTAATTTTCGTGATTTTTTTGACCATTTTTATTATATCGGGTATTTTTTACTATCTTATGAGAAAAAAATCCAAAATGCAACATAATGAAATTGAACTTTAACCCAATATGCAATGTGATCCATGAATTTTTAATTTATTTAATATGGTCCATGAAATTTAACCTAATATCCAATGTAGTTCTTGAATTTTTAATTTATTTAATATCGTTCATGAACTTTTGGTACATGTTTAATTTATTTAATATAATCCTTCTAGTTTGTCCGAAAATTGAGAAACGACAACAAATCGCAACCGTGATTGACTCACAAAGCATGAACACAAAGGTGAAGCTCGGGTCTTGCATATTGCACGGAAAGAAACAGTAGATCTCTACATAGACACCGATGTTCGACGATCATTCAAGCTTCAAATCACGTTTTAATGAACGGAATCGCTTCCGGGAAAATGTCAACCCTTAGATGGATGAAGTTCAAGATTACCCTCTTAATACATGACCAGTAGTGGTCTAGTATGACTGAACATTCCAATCTAGGAATATCAAAAGCAATCCAAGAACACCACATTCAATTTATATAGAAATCCAAATACATCAAGATTCAAGCCCCACATCAGTAAAAACCACCCGAAGTAAGTTCCTAGCGCATTCTGTAAAAATTTCCATTTCTCCAGATGCCATACATACCGCATACTACCTCGTAATCTAAGACTCGTAAACCTAAAGACACCGAAGAGGTCATGTACAAGTATATTGCCATTCACTCAGAATCAGCAGCTCACTTCACTGTAGTATCCTTAAAGCTCTTGGCCAGCCAAATAGCAGTTTCTCTGGGCGAGACCTTCTCGGGTCCGAATGGCTTTAGCAACACACCAAGCTCATCAAACCTCTGCTGCTGCAGAAGCCGCGCACTGAATTCCAGCAACCCTTCCAATGCCTCAGCTCGTTGCTGGTACGACGAGGTGTCGAACCGGAACTGCCGCGACTCGAAAGATAAATGGCTCGCAACATCACCTTTGTGGTTATGCTCAGCATGGTGGGCCTTATCGAGAATCTGGACTGTGCACTTGTCCTTAGTGATTGAACGGACGGTCTCAGGTGAGGCGGACGAGCACTGAGGAGACGTTGAAGAAGTTCTAGGAATGGGTAAAAGGGAGTCTTCAGGAGATGTTAAGGGAAATTCTGCAATCTTGTCGAATCGCGGGGCATTAACAGAGACGTCTGGAGACTGGATTCTGTGAAGGAGGCCTGCACTTGTCCTGTATGGAGTTGCAGAAGCCAAGGATGTTGCTGATAATGGAAGAGAGACTCTGCGTGATAGTTGAGAAGTATTTCTTGGAGTCCGTGACTGCAGATGCTACAAATTTTTGAAACACGTCAGATCCAACAAGGAGATAGTTAGATTGATGAATAAACTATAAATCCAGCAAAAAAAATAAAAATTAGTTATGCTTCTAACATGTCTAAGCAATGCTCGTTTATTAAGTTAAAAAACTTGTCAGATGCACTTTCCTTGTGCTAAAGCTTAGGTCTTGCATAAAATCATATGAATAACTATCGCAACAATGTGACAAGATATAGACAAAGGTTGTGACACCGGTCAAGTTTGGCAAGGCATGTATGCAATTACAACAGAAGCCGGGGAAAAAAACCAAACAAGAATGCCAGTCAAGGAAATTTCCTGAAAAAGCTACTCATTAGGTCTTCATCATTCGTTTATAACTCACCACTTCGCGTTTTGGACCCATGTGGGATGTTTTTGACGTAGTTGACTGCCTCCTGGGAGCAGCAAAAGTTTTTGCTGGGTTCAATCTTGGGCTTTTGGCTATACTCGGAAGCTTTGTGAATTTGGAGTTCAAGGTCACATCTTCTTCTGAAGAATAGTCAACTGATAACTCTGCAAACTTATCAGTAATAACGGAGAAATTCCATGCTCTTCGCATAGAGTAGAAAGAATCATGTTCAGTTCCAGAAATGCTAGGATTCAAGGTCCGGTCATTACTGAATGACCACCTCTTTTCTCTATCTACTGAAATGGAAACAGCTTCTGGCTCCACAAATCTAATTTTCTTCATATAATTAGACTGACACCAGCTCATGGGGTAAGTATTCCTTCTCGGACTATTCAATTTGAGATGAATCTTAAGAACATAAGGTTGAAGATGGGGATGATTGAGCAACTCTGCAGCCTGTGAAAGACAGCATGCTTCAACTTTGTGAGTCAATAGAACAAGATAGATGTGAACAATGCCCCATGTCATGCTGTAACAACCGGAACGTGTAATAGAGAATAAATAGAGTATACAATAAAAAGATTATCTTCAAGACAAAGTCAACCTCAACAGGAACGTGTAAGACAACAACCAATGTAAGAAGAGGAGAAAATCTGATTTGAGAGAAGCAGGGAGAGGTACATACACTGGGTCTTAGCTCAGGATTTTTCCGCAGCATACTCTTGATGAGCCCTCGCCTGAGGCAACAATCAACAGGATGAAAGACAGGGTTAATACAGCAGGACCAATTTAATTATTCAAAACATGCCAATAACTTCAAGTTATAAGCAATTCAAAGAGATAAGTAGCCATTGATGCATAATGGAGTTCCACAATATGGACTGTAAGGGCAAGATATCTATGGGTACATAGAGAGAACTCACAGGGCACCAGTGTACATTGTCGGCAATGGAGCCACAATAGATTTATTTATCTTGTTAATGAGAGCTCGCATATCCTGTTCAGCAAAGGAGACAAAATTAAATTTAAATGTTTGGACATGTATAAGCTTTGAAGAGAATTTAATGAATCCTTAAAACTTAGTAAAGATCTCCAAGCATCTTAAACCATTAATCGCAGTTCATGGTTTGAGCCCAACATGCAGTCATTTTACTCTCTTCAGACAATGAACAAGCAAACTAAACCAACTATAGCATGGCTTCTCTGCATTCTGAAGCACTAATCTGATACCGAGAGCGTGAGCTCTACTACAATTCAGAGAAATAGGCCAAACAAAAGTAAGATGCGAAAGCACCGAGGAAATATTTCTCTGTCTATGCAGAAAACCTCACAACAGTACAATTATCATAAAAACGAACTTTGCCAAGATTGAAAGATTAAACATAAGGACCACACAATTTAACAACTAATAGAGGGAACAGCTTTAATGTGGCTACTTAACTTCAAGAGGGACATAAGATAAGTTGTAACACAGAGAAATAACATAATATTACCAGAAACAATGTCTCAAAAGCAGAGCAAATTGAGAACTTATATAAGCTTTTTGGCATAAGAAAGAAAAACTTACAAAAGCTCTAAATGCAGGTTTGTGAGCAGTCATTTCATATATGCAGCATCCTGCAAAGAGAGTCTCACTGTAAAACAAGAAATTTAACTGAAAGTGCAAGCGAGTGCTTAGATATTCACAAAGCGATACCTAGAGACCAAATATCTGATTTTGAACCATATGGTATATCTGCCAAAAGCTCTGGGCACATATAACTAGGAGTACCAACAACCTGCAATCAATAGTAACTGCTAATTATATAAAATCCTCACGAGAAAGAAGAAGAAAGTTAAGCTCCTTTATACCATCATACTCACCGAAGAAGCAAGATCATCAGAAGTTAATAATTTGGCAAGACCAAAATCACCTGCACCCGCGTGTACATCAATTCACATAATTGCAACACCAATTTTGCGGAATATAAACACACACAAAACCAATACATTTAGTGAGAATATTCAAGCGAAAGAAAAGGAGTACCGCAAAAAAGATTACTTACCTAGGCGTATGTCCTGATCCTTTGTCAAAAATATATTTGAACACTGAAGCAATTTGGAAGATCTTTAGCTCATTGGACGATTTGTAAATTGGGACATGAAACAGAGTAAAACCCTAGAACAAACTGCAGTAAAAGATGCCAAATACCTTGACATCACGGTGGAGAATATGATTTGAATGCAAGTAATCAAGTGCCATGAGGAGTTGCACCAGCCACTTGCAAATTTTCTGCAAATCATTCAGGTTCCAGTACGAGATTGAAATAGAGTACAACACTTATATATTAGACAGATACCATGATCATGAATATGGGACCATGATGTAAAAACTAAGCTGAAAGTGTCAACCTCTTCTGGAAAATTGTTTCCGTTAGCCCTTTTTATAGCTTCTGCCCTGAATAACAAGTAGCAGTATGCTGATGTCACCAAAATTGCCAAAGGATTTATAGAAGAAATGATCTTCTCAGTAAATAATGGCATGGTGCTTACATGTCTCCTGCCTCGCAGTAACCTATTATTATGCAAACATAGCAACCCTGAAAGTGCAATTAGCAGCCATTAATTATAGAACCAAACATTAGTTGCAATGTGATACACCAAGAGGAAACAGTAAGCCAAAATTGCGATTCAAAAGGGGGAAGAACAGAAACTAATAAAGGAATGTATTAATGGTGACACAAGTTGCTGACCTTTTCTACCCAGGAATCTTTGTACTCCACAATAAAAGGGTTACGTACTTTAGATATAAGCTCCATCTGCATATTTAAGAACAAAAGAATGCATCAGAACCACCGTATAAAATGCAAAAAAACAGATCCAAGAATTTAAGAGATAACTAACCTCTTGGTAAGCAGATCGACGGGCCCTATCAGTTTGGCGAGCAAGACGAATCTTTTTAAGGACATATCTGGAAGAAGAATGAAAAACCAGGAAATAATTAACATCTTCTGAATCATCAAAATTAAGCAAATGAACCAGTTTCTTCTGTACATGATCCACAAGTCAAGGGACCTCACTTCTTCTTTTCGTGCTTATGCCTCACGAGAAGAGCAGAACCAAAGGAACCCTTTCCAATCTGCTCTAAAACTTCGTACTGCTCCATTCCCTATCCTGAGCTCTTCCACTAGTGGGAACTTCAGAAGAATGCCTAGCATGCATACAGCGCATAGATAAAGCACAGCACAAGAAAAATGAGAACACCAATTCCAATGCTCTCCCCAATAACATATATTACAAGAAAGAGGAAAAGATTATGATGACCTACTCCACTTGGTTCAACAAGAAGAAATATTATTTTCATAAGCGCATCTAATATCATGCATACAACCAAATTCACACTGAAATGAACCACTACCAAGCGACCTCCTTACTGGTACAATAGAAATGCCTGCAAAACCGTGACGTTATCACAACTTTATAATAATCCCATCCCAAACCAAATCAACAGTGGGTTACGTAGCGAACTGGGAGTTAAAAGCCCAAATCCCTCCTACTTGCTATTTCCTGCGCAAGCAAGCAGCAGAAATTACTGAAATGCTAAATTCCAGCGCGAGGTAAAGAAGAGGGGATCAAATGAAGAACATGGCACTCATATAGAACAGGCACTTAAGCTCCAAGAATCGACTAAACATGTTCACCATCCACGAGGTGAAAAAAAGAAGGAAAAGAACACTTAAATCTCTCGTCGAAGCAGCAAGAACAAGCAAGAAGAAGCAAGCCACCAGAGAAAAACCGGATCCCACGAGAGAAAAACAGCGTGCAAAAAAATGCGTAAACGCCATACCCGGAAGGGCCGAGAGGGGCGGAATTATGAAGAACAGAGTGTTGGGTATTTCAAGAAAGCCTCTCAAGAACAATGAAGAACCCAGAACGACAACCGTCCTAGGACACAGCCGACAACTGCGCCTCAACTATCAACGGGTCCATTTAGGTCGGAGTTCTTTGTTCTGTAATGTCCGCAATGGCGAGGAAGACAGAGACGCGCAGCGCCAACAAGAAATGGAAAGAAAGCGAAAGTGGAACGCAGAGCCAGAGAGGGTAGAGAATTCAAATGTTCAAAAACCGAAAATTTTGGCACTGGGGAGAAGGGTCAAATGGCACTATCGCGTTCCTTTTTCCTTTTGTCTTTTTTTTTTTCTTTCTTTCCACTTTTCTTTCTTCCTCTCCATTTCGTTTGAAGTTTTTCTCGTTTTGTTTTTGTTTTTGGGGTTGAATTCCTTAAAAAAACCTTGACTTTAGGTCAAGTCTCAAATCTATCCCGAACTTTTTTTTTATCTTAGAAAAAACCCCAAACTTTAGTTCAAGTCTCAAATCTGCCCTGAACCTTTTTTTTGTTTCAGAAAAACCCCAAACTTTAAGTTTAGTCTCAAATCTGCATCGAATTTTGTTTTGTGTAAAAAAAATCAGTAAATTTCAATTTATTTTCAAAAAAATACCCTGTGATCCAATCCCAACTTGATGTGACACTTCCACATCAATAACAAATCCCATCAGTAAAGTAATGGGGCGATAGGTACAGACCCACGTCGCATTTCCACTTTGATAACCAATCCAACCCAATAAAAATTGTTGAAATTCTCCAAAATAAATTCATTTTAGGATACGAAAGTTAGGGACGACAATAAATTCACCCCAAAAAACCTTTTTTAAATTTAAAAAAAAAACGTAATTTTTAGGGTCAGTACAAATTTGTTCCGAACTTTTCTTTATCTAAAAAAAAACCCTATTACATTATTGATGTGGATTTGTTATCGATGTAGAGGTGCTATGTCAAGTTGGGACTAGATTATGGGGGTATATTTTCGAAAATAAATTGAATTTTGGTGATTTTTTTTTACACAAAATAAAATTCGGGGCAGATTTAAGACTAGATTTAAAGTTTAGGGTTTTTTCTGAGAGAAAAAAATGTTTGGGGCCGATTTGGGACTGGACGCAAAGTTTGGGTATTTTCTAAAATAAAATAAAAATTCAGAACAGATTTGAGACTTGACATAAGTTAAGTTAATGGTTTTTTTAGAGAATAAGGCCTTTGTTTTTGTTTCTTCTTCTGTATTTTATTTCTTGAGACTCTTGAAAACGACGGCGGTGCAGGGGCGGGTGTGCGGTAGCTTCCTTCGGCAAGGAAAGAAAGGTGGGGCCCGTCTCTGTCCCCCGCGCGTGAAAACGCCCTGCAGATACTTGGGCCAAGTATAAAAAAAAAATTTAAAAACTGACCTAAAATTTCACTCTTTGCCTTTATTTATTTGGCGAAAAATTAATATTTTCAAAAGTATTTTAAAAAGATAATTCTGTATCTTTTGAAATAATTAGTTAACGAAAAATATTTTCTTTATCAACGATAATTTATGTTTAACAACATCCACGAATAATAAAAATGTTTTTCGTTCATTGATTTTTGTAAACGATACAAACACATCTTTAGGAAAATTTATTACAAATCATTTTTTTTTCGCGAAACAAAAGTTACCTTCCGTCTTTTGAGACAAGACCGCAAAGGGAAAGCGCAAAATTACCTTCTCTTAGGAAAATTGTCGAACCCTCAAAGCATCCGCAAACCCTCGCCTCTTCTCTACATCGTGCCCAACTGGTTTCCACCAGCGTCATGACTTAACGCCGTTGTCCGCGTCCTCCATTCCCCCCCCAACCCCCGCCCCGCCATCGACCGCCACATTCTTCCCTTCCTTACCTCCTCCTCTCTGCTCGATACGCGTCTTCTCCTCACCTCGTCCTCCTTACTCTCTACACAACCCTCTCTCTCCCCTCCCTATTGCACGTCAGTGTGGTTGTGGATGACATAGATACAAATAGTTCTCGCAATTTCTCGCAAACAAGCATGCAATCATGTAGAGAATTACACAAAATGTTACTACAAGATTTTCACGACTCGAAACACTAACTCTCAGATGTAATTCACTAACAAATTAACTTGGAAAGCATTTCGACATATAACTTTGAAAGAAGGTTTCAAAAGAGCATGAAGTTTTTGAACTTTCTCAAAAGTGAAAGAGTCATTTGAATATTTTTGTTATAAAACTCAATTAACAATCCTATTAGTTCAAAATTTGTCCCCATTGATACCAAGTGAGATTTTTTGTGGAATTACTGTCAATTGTTCTGATAGTTTAAGCTGTTAAATGAATACGTGATTTAATATATAAATATTATATTACTTGCCCTCGCGTTTAGTCTGGTATTTTTTACTAATACTAAACGTGGACATGTTTAATTGGGGGGGACAAATGGCGCTTGGAAAGATTTAGACTCAAGACTCCCGACTTTGATATCACGTGAGATTTTTATGAAACCACTGCCAACTATTCTAAAAGAATTATGTGAGATTTTGTGAGACTACTACTAACTGTTCTAAAATCGTAAGTTATCAGATGAAAGATTCGGTTAATATTTTAATGTTCTATCACTAAGATGAGCTGTGAACTTCGTTATAATTTACATCAATCATTTTGAATGAAACAAAAAAAAAACAAAAGAACAGCTTTGGAATTCGAAAAAAGAGCACGAGGCCACCTATAATTACATTGAGCAATGAGGATAAAAAAAACTTGGTTTTACATATTTTGGGTCTAGAGCTCTTTGAGCACCCCATTACTTTCCATCAGATGTGATAATCTCCCGTCCCCCTTACACTGAATAATTATTGGAGATACAAGGTCCATGCTTTTGGGAAGTCCCAAAAATATCCAATTTTGATCGACAGAGATGTCATTGAGCTAAGTGCTAGGGCGAAGAAATCGATAAATTCAGTTAATGGAAGGGCACTGTCAGGGAAGTAGAGCCCATGCAACCGACGAAGTGGTAGAGGTGAGGATCCCAAAAGTTGTAACCCGTTTGTATATAAGTGATGTTAAATAATAAGAGCTACGAAGAGAGTTTTCGATTCTTATTAACTCTGTTGAATAAAAAGCATAAGTATTGTTGAATAAGGGTGCGCATGAATACCATTCTGTGCCCGGGCGCTATTTCTGAACAGAAATGATTTTTTTTGATTTTGTGCCCGGAAACAATTTCTGAGTATTTGAAGGCGTTTGATAAACTGTCCAAAATTTCTATTCCTAGAGTAGAAAAGAACAGAAATGCGTTTGGTAACTACACAAAATTTCTGTTCCCAAATAATATTTTAATAATATTTTAAATTGTTTAATTTTTTTTTCTTTTTACCCATTTTTTTCTTTGGCCATGGCCGGTCGCCGGCGACCGGCCACAGCCCAGGGCCAGCGAGGGCGTCACGGCCCTCGCCGGCCGCCGGCGGAGGCGAGGGTCGCCCTCGCCGCACGGGCGAGGCGGCCTCGCCCGAGACGGCGAGGCTCGGCCTCGCCCGGATCTGGGCGAGGCCGAGCCTCGCCGTCGCGACCCACGGCGGCCGCCTCGCCATGGGTCGCGACGGCGAGGCTCGGCCTCGCCAGATCCGGGCAGGCCGAGCCTCGCCTTCTCTGGGCGAGGCCGACCTCGCCGTCGCGACCCACGGCGAGGCTCGGCCTCGATCGATCTGGGCAAGGCCGCCTCGCCCAGGCGGCGAGGGTCCGGCCCTCGCCCTCACCCGGCCGAGGGCGACCCTCGCCTCCGCCGGCGGCCGGCGAGGGCCATGACGCCCTCGCCGGCCCTGGGTGGCCGGCCAAGTAGCGGTCGCGGCGCGGCTCGACCAGGGAAGAACAACACCACAAAATAAGAAAAGAAAAAAAGAAAAAGAAGAAAAAAAACTGATTCTCAAAATTGTGCCGAGAAACAAGAAACAACTTTTTTTTACTTCTTGTTTCTCTTTCAAAACTGTTTTTCGGCACAAATTTTTGCAAAAATGTGCCAAGGAACAAAAAGTTTACCAAACGCATTTCTGTTCTCAAACTATTTCTGGGAACAAAAGAACAGAAATTTTCACTATTTGGCACTTTACCAAACGGGCCCTAAAAAGCACAAGTATCCAAGACGTATGTTTTGCAATGGACTGTCAATCTATTCACAAGCACACTGCTACTTTCAGTTTATTTTTACATTTCCAGTACTTTTACATGACCGATTGTTCCTAGTTTCGATATTTTTAGATTTCTCGTCATTTACATTTCCCGTCCAAGATTCAACAAAGGACTACCCTTCACAAGCTTTGTTGTTTCATACCGGTCGATCCACATTTCGAAGGCATTTCATCGACTTTTCGGCGAAACACACGGGGGGGTTTTAGGGTCCAACCCAAAAAGCGGGGGAGGGGGACGAACGCTAACCACCCTTTTCAATAATGGCGTGTTGCACAATTTCGTGTCTTTTATTGCAAAAGGATGCCCCATTGTCTACCAACGATTCTCTTTTATGAGCTTTGACAAACCATTAATGGGGCCATTCAACGTATGCGCCCAAAGCAAAAGTTGATATCCAATTAACATATGATGGCGATCAAATCGGCATCATACAATGATTACAACCCACCACCAACTCCCCACATAGATCCTTTTGCAATCATCCCCATATAATTAGGGCATGTGACCATATTATCAATTGAAAAATCCCATCATGGAGACCTTAATTAGTTCATCCATGCACATCCTTGTCTGCACTCGAATACTATATTTTTATAAAGGCAGATTGGACAGCGGAGGGTCCATTAAGGTAGCAACATTTGCCTAATCTTCTAAAGAACGAAGCGACCTTTAATCGATTCGATTCCAAGTTTCAATTAGCCGATATCCACCCATTCATCGTTCGAAAGCTTCGCCACCAATCATGCAAGTACTCATTGCAATAATTAAGCATTC